TGTTTTTGTAAAAGGGAGAGATATGAAGACTTAACAAGAGGTTGATGGTTTTCATGTTTGTTTTTTAGTTAACAATTACCACCTTGTTTAGTAAAATCTAGTTTACAAATAGTGTTGTCCTTCCAGTTAAAAACTGCTTTTCTTACCTTGTCCTATCATTAATATTCTGGATCTCAGGCTATGAGAGGCCAGAAGAAGCAGCATGTTCCATCTTCACAACTAAAGTTATTTGACTTAAGAGAATAGCTTTTTATGGAGCTACATTGTCCCTATGTTTTTATATTAAAGTAGTGATGCCAACATTACTGATCTTTTCATTCTTGCTAAGAATGGTGGATCTTGTAAGTGTCCAGAGAGATGTTAACACAACAGCTGCTGGGCCTTGCAGACCTGAACATACCACTGTTACTAAATGACACATAGCTGACATGTATTGATAATTGACATAATTTTTTTGGCATAATGCTAGTGATGCTGTTAATATATCCTACTGCTGTATTCTTTGTTACAGATCTTGCTCTGCTGTCTATCCAGACCTCATATTGTATGCTTTAGCAGAGACTCTTTCACAGGAGTAAAACATCTTTGGAAGAGTTGATAGATTCCCTCTGCCCTTCATGGGATTTTGAGGGAGTTTGCAAATAGTGATCTTTGTATGAAAGATAGGATGCTGAGATACAACGTAGTTGTCTCTGTGTGTTCTGTGAAGATTAAGAGAGAACTGTTTATGAAAGTCATCAAGAGCTATTTGCTTTTCAGAATGTCAGAGTGTAAACTCGTACGTGTATATGTGCTTTGTGAGGGTAAGAGCTGTGCACAGCAACACTGAAAGCTTACACCAGTGTTGGAAAGTGTAAAAGAAGTGTAAAACACACAGCAGTTTGGATGATCAAGTCTGCCTCAGAAACCATCCTGTACGTTTGCCTGTGCACTGGGTGTACATGGATCAAAAGCCGGGATGAAGCAGCATTGATAGGCACTATCAGGGCTATTTCCACATCCTAGACCATTCTTCTCTTCCATTTTTTTCACCTGCCGTGCTGTGCTTGGATTCCTCTGGCCTTTCCTGAGCCTTTCTCCTCTTCTTCCCACTTCTGCATTTCTTGCCTTGTGGATATAGCTCAGATATTGTGACAGATCAGTGTGATCACATTTGAGAGCATATGATCTGAAATCTTACTCTATGTGTGATGGATGCTTCTCTGGGCTTAGAGCTGTCCCAGGAATCCTTAAACAGAGTTAGGAACTGATTTTTAGCACTCCAAAAATTTACCACAGAACTTATATCTTCTCTTCTGCTACTTCTTTCAATACCTACTGTAGAGGGAATTTCTTTCCTCAGCCAGGTGTGTGAATAAATGATCACTGGCTCTGTGATAAAGACTGAGGTTTGGGTGGTGGCCTTTGAGGATGTTTCAGGTACATTAGAAAAGACTGTTTGCGTATCCCTATTTCCTAAAAAACTTTCTGTACTCCATACAGAAATACCTGCTTCCTCTCATCATGGGAGGCAAAGAAGACAGGAAACAACTTCAGAGGATCGAGTCAAACATCGCTGAGATGAGTGGCAGTGTGACACAGACAGGTAAAGATTAATGACTCCATCAATTCACCCCTCAAAGCCTTTCTCCCTGTAGCCTCCATTCTGCCAAGCCCCCCACCCTTTTCTTTGCCTCCATCTCCACTTTATGTGGTGACTTCATTTATCTGCTCTGAGAATCTGTTCACATTTGCAAATGAAGGCGCCGTCATTTCGGTTTAATTTGAAATTGGTTGTTTACTGTCGGCGCGGCCTCAATTAATTATGTTTTTACGGAAAGGCTCCCAACCTCAGAATATTAATAAGGAGAATAAAATGACAGCCTTTCGTGGGGCTGTAAAGTTCAGGTTTAATTTCTGCTTCTCACATGTTTCCAGGGGCTTTTTTTTTCCAGCCTTTCCCCCCCACCTTCCATCTAAAAACCCGAGGAAGGGTCAGGAGAGTCTGTAATTACTGTGCCTCCCTGACCTTAGCCACCTTCTCTGTTATTGACTCTATAGGGTGTCTGTTCATTACCCGGTGCCCTAATGATGGTCTGGATTAGCTGTTGCCTGTCACACCAATAGAGGTTTTAATTTTATTTTACCGGCTTGTTTACTGCCTGGAAGCTTTGGATAAAGTAGCAAAACAGTAAAAGTTGGAGTCGAGCAGAAGTCCTCCAGTGCTTGGTGGGCTGTAGGAGGGGAATGCAGGGTGTTCTCTTGAAATAAAAGGGGGAAAGTGTGAAGTATATTCAGTTGGAGGGATGAAAAAATTATGATTTTCAGCAGTAGGTTTGTTAAAGATGTTGGGGTTGAAGGAGCTGGTGGGTTGAGAGTGGGAGGATGCTCATTACATCTCTTAGTGGAGGGTGTGAAGAAAAGCATCCTTCATTTCTCATGATACCCTGAGGTCAGTCCTTAAACCAGCCTCTTCCTAGACTGGAGGTATCCCCAGCGCTTGCCTGTGTGAGGCCCAGGATAGATAAATGATACAAACATTGTATAAGTTCAGGGAGATGTACAAATCATAAACCAATATAATTAGAAGGGAGAGGTTTTGGACGGATATACTGTGGGCTATAGACATCTATACAATGGAAAGATAAACTAGAAATACTGGAGGTTAGATGCAGTGCAGGTAGATTACCCGTAGTGCAGATAAATCATATGGATTAAAGTGAGCAGGCGGGGGTAGATAAATTAAATATAGTAGGAATAGAGGCATCTTTGTAGCTAGACAGCAGGAAGGGCGTGTGTGTGTGTGTATGTGCATGTGCATGTATCTCAGTTTAACACTCTCCTGCTTTTTCCTTTACAGTGACTCAGTTACAGACAACTTTAGCAGCTGTCCAGGAGCTGCTAATCCAGCAGCAACAGAAAATCCAGGAGCTCACCCAAGAACTGGCTGCTTCTAAGGTATCCATTCCCAACTCTTTACTTTTAGAACATCACCATCTCTCTTCTTTGGAACATGCATGCCTTCTTCCGTGGGCACATGGAAAGCACCTTGTTAGGTTTACAATCCAGCCTTCAGCTCTGTCATATCCCCAGCCAGTTTCTCTGCATCTGACTTCTCCATAGGCAGTCTGTTTGAAGCACTCTGATATTAACTGGGTACTCAGTGAAATACATGTAACTTCTGAGGGGGCTTTGCTATATAGCTCTGGATGCAGCCTTTGTGTCTGAGGCCTCAGACCTTTTCTCAGCTCTGTATCTTCTGCATTGCATTTGAGATTAAATAATTGTGCTCTTAGTCCACCGACCAAAAGAGGCAAAGGCCACTTGTGCAGAGGTTTTATTTGTGTGTAATATGTAATTTTACATGTTCATATTTCTCCTGTCCATTGTCAGAACAATGACTTAATCCTGTTCAGCCAAGCACACGCTTGAAATACTGTATTTAAGTCACTTGTTCAGATCCAGGCTTGGTAATGGATGAATATTCTTACTATTTGGTTTCTTGTTTCAATGATTTTAGTCATCTTAGTGTAACAGGTAGCCCCATCACAGCCACATTAGTGATGCTCAGTTGCTCATTCCCCTTGACTCCTGACTTGACCCTGGCAATAAAACCATCAGTTCTGACTAGTTTGTGTTGTTACATGTGTAACTACAAGTGACCACTTTTAACCAAAATTGATTTTCTTTCTGGTGATGAGAATTAGTGTTTTTCATCTCCAAAGTACTTTGCAGCCATTGGCCTAAGCATTCTATCAGCCAATGAGTGTTGGTTCCATGTGAGCTGGGATGGATTTGAACCAGTCACGTAGAGATGATCACAAACTTGTGATTATTCATCTTTATTCTCTGTACAGGGAGAGATTTATCTTTTTACTGTGAAATCCCTTAGACAACGCTTACAGTCTTTTACCTATTGCATGAACTGTTGTGTTCTCCCTTACCTATACTTTAATCTCATACAAGCCCTTTGATGGTATGTAACTGGTGGGCCACAGCTGACTGTGTGGTGTGCACACTGTACAGTAGGACTCCCTCAGTGGCACAGCTGTAAACCCAACCATGAAAGCCAGTTTATGGTCACAACACTCTACTTCAATTTTCCTTGGGAACTGTGGCCTGTCAATGGCCTGGAGCCAGTCCGGAAATTGGAAAACTGTTTTCAGGTCTTAAGTGTTAAGATTAAGACCACATGTTGAGCTTTAAGAAGGGAAAAGGGCATAAGACTCTTGGTGGTTTAGAGAGTCTTGAAGAAGTTTTTCCTCCCCCCTCTCTACCCCCTGCACTGAAATGGTAGCACACATTGTTATGATATCTAAACCTCATGTGTATAAAGAAAAACTTGGGCAACCCCACAAACCAAAGAATAAAAGCTGTGTTTTCTCAGCTGTAATGTAAGTTTTTATATCTGCTTTTCAAACTCCTACTGGCATGCTGTAAAAAATTAAAAAGAGGGACTTTAAGTAATTAAAAAACATACATAAAAATTCAAGGCTTGAATTTTCTACAACTGTTTTTTAAAGAGACTGGCTAAAAAGCCCCAGATGTCAGATTTTATTTCTAAATCCTAGGCATCTGGCACCATATGTGTTTTGGAAATTTGAGTCCTTTGCAGGCCAGTGAGTGGAAATCACTCCCTTGTTAATGTGCTGCTGTAGCTTTCAAGGTCTTGGAAAGCCAGAACAGTGGCTCCTGGATTCTTGCTGTCTGAGGGCTGGGAGTGTGAATCCCAAGGGAACGCATCTGTGTATATCACAGCTACTACAGACTGAGCCTCTCCCAGCTCACTGGGTTCAGAGCCCAGAAGTCACTGCGAGGAGTGCTGGCTGTGAAGGTGTTCAGGGTTACTCAGCAATAGCTGAAATCTGTTTAAGGAGTAAGTAGGAACAATCAGTTCTGGCTACATGTAGTAGGAATTGCTGAGGAGGATTTTTGTGTTATTCCAGTTCTGGCTTCCTTAGTCGGGGGATTTATTAGGAGCATCTCTGGAGTGATGCTCACAAATGGCTTCATTCTGAATTGCTTTTAGCAAAAATTACTATGGGAAGTGCTAGACATGAGTATTCTTTGGTCCCATACTCAGCCCATCACTACAGGACTTACTAGGGTTTAGAAAAAAGTGACATTTATGTACTTTCTCCCAGTTCATACTTTGATCTTCTTGTCTTCTTTTTCATGTTCTAGGCCACAACTTCCACCAACTGGATCCTGGAGTCACAGAATATTAATGAATTGAAATCTGAGATCTACTCATTAAAAGGACTTCTCCTGAACCGGTACGGGTGGAATGTGTGAGCAGATTATTGTGTGGGGAAAGGGTTGCTTTCTGGGATCCTCTCAGTCATGGAAAGGAAAGGCATTTCCAACGGGAACTAGCTCTATATCCTGTTATTGCTATTTAAATAATACCAGTTTGCACTCCACTATCACTTTCTATTTGCAGGTCTCAAAATGCTTTTCAAACTTGCCTTTAATCACAGAGCGCTTTGAGTAATTAATAAGATCTTTCCTTTTTTGTTTATGATAAAGGAATTCTCTGCCATTCCCCACAGTCAGGATGCCTCTCACCTAGCCCGAGGTATTGACTGCATCTGCACCTGCATCCTCTTACAGAGAGAGTCACTTCTGGATACAGCTCAGCTGACCTGTTCATGGTTAGGGCATAACCAGGATGAAAAGGATCGCACTTCAGCAGAGCCTGGTTCTCTCGAATAGCTAGCTCAGGTATAGACAGCTTATAATGCAGCAGATGTCTGAAATGAGGTGATGATATAAATCCCAGCCTGTGGGACAGTCATAAGAACAGGGATCAGATTTCTAGTTCTTGAGGAAATTCTTTTTTTCCAAGGACATAACTTAAGACTTTATCTAGCTTCCCAGCTGTCGAACCATTTACTCCGATGTGACTCTTGCCTCCTTCTACGTGTAACTAAGTCTTCTCAAATCATCTGTTTCCGAAGAGATGGACTTCAAAGGTCAATCTAAGATTGGACTAGCCATGTTCTGGGTCTCAACAATGGGGCTTTTCGGATGTCTGAAAAGTGTATTGTCTTTAACATCCTTTTAAATTCTCACTACACCTCCCACTTCTCCCAAGAGTCACTGGAGAAAGCTTTGGAGAATTGAGGACACTAAGTTACTGTCTGTTAATTAGTAACAGTTACTGTCTGTTGGTTTGGGTCGTACTAGCATCACTGCTGGGGGGTGAGCATTACTTAATGGCACCTCTTCAGCAATGGGAAAGTTGCAGCTGGGGAGTAAATGCTTTTTGGGAAAAAAGAAAACCTCTGGGAGTGGTTGTTTAACAAAAGGGCAAATGTCTCAGCAGTGACAAGGCAGCAGCACCACCAGAGCCAAGAAAGTCTCCAGATTGAAATTGTTGTTTGCATTTATGATACTGGTTGAATAATGCAGACATTAGGTTATTGCACTCACAGGAGATGGAGGTTAGATCAGCAGAGTTTTGATGGCTGCAGGTGGGAGGAGGAAGAGGGAGGTGAGAGCAGCTACTGTTCCTAGTTCAGTCTAAGCAAATGTATCCTGCTGTGTTTGAGTGCTCACTGTAGGAGAGCAGCTGGCTTTCATCTGCTCTGTCCATGGCACGAGCCAGCTCACCTGAGGGACATGAGGCCTTCCTGCCGCACGGCATCCTTTTCAGACCTGATCTCTTCATACTCCCACTTTTCACATACTCAAGCAAGGATGCATGGGGAGTACTGGATCAGACATGCTTTTTTGCTTTGCTCTTCATGATGAATGACTTTCTGAGGGCACCAGTGCTCCCCATTGCGCTTAACATTTGTCCTGTCTGGTACTTGGATTCCTCTTAGGGTTGGACTTTAGCCTGCCACTATCAAATCCTTAAAGCCCACCCGGGAAGGACTCAAGCACAGAGCAGCCAGCTTTCTCAGCTGGTGCAAGGTACTATGACTCCATTCAAGTCAGAGAAGCTGAACCAGTTTGTGGCAGCCAGGACCTGGCCCAAACATGTAAAGTGCATGCTGGGACTAGGAGATAGGCTCTGGATTGCAGTGAGCCACAATGCAATAGCTGAGTATCACAGTGGAGGTGAGATCCAGGTGGTGAAATTCCTTGGCTGGGGCACAAGGACCTGGTGTGTCTGACTTCTTGATCCGGCGGGAATTTTCTTTACCAATTAATTAGTGATTGTTTTATAAAGGGACACCCATGTCTTTCCACAGGCAGCATTCCTGAGTGCTATCTTACTGTGTGACACTGGCCAAACCAGATCATTTTAGTGCTTCAGATTGCCCAGCTCTGATACTTTCCTTGGGTGCAGGCTCGATTACTGGGTGCATGTAAAGCACTTTGAGGTTCTGGCTGAAGAAGTGAGGTGGCCTTGGGTTTGTTCTTTTCTGTCGATGGAGACTTGCAGTCTCAGCCCTGCTTTACATGGTTTCCCCAGTGCAAATACCATTCTCTCTAATGATAACCCCTCAGTGTTTTTAATCAAAGCCCCTTTCTCTCCTTTTCTTCCCCTCTTCCCCTCCCCCAAGGAGGCAGTTCCCTCCCTCCCCTTCGGCTCCCAAGATCCCATCATGGCAGATCCCAGTGAAGCCAAGCTCACCCTCCAACCCTGTTGTTGCCAACCATAATAGCAGCAGTGACATCTCCCCTGTCAGCAACGAGTCTACCACCTCATCACCAGTGAAGGAGAACCACAGCCCTGAGGGCTCAAAGGTCAGCTGCCATCTGCTGAGCACAGAGGAGGGCAACAAGGCAGTGATCGACGTCAAGAGCCAAGTGCGGATGGAGGTGCAGGGGGAGGAGGAGAAAAGGGAAACCAAAAGGAATGACGAGGAGGAAGAGGACGATGAGGATGATGACGTTAGCCATGTGGATGAGGAGGAATGTCTGGGTGTCCAGACTGAGGACCGGCGAGGAGGGGATGGTCAGATTAATGAGCAAGTAGAAAAGCTACGAAGACCTGAGGGGGCCAGCAATGAGAATGAGATTGACTAAGACACCCTGGCTTCTGCTGCTGCTGCTGCTGTACATCTTCCCTAGGTTCCTGCACTGTCCCCGGTGCCTCTCCCATTTTGAGGGGAGAAGTGCCACCGTCCCCTCCCATGATCCTCCCATGACTGACCTTGAGCAGGGTCATGATTGCCCAGTGAACAAGGTGGGCCCTGTTTCACCACAGGGCTTTGCAGCGTTGCAGTGGCTTCTTCTCCCCTCCCAGGCCTTCTTCCCATGAGCTGGGGTCACTGCCTAGGCTGGAAGACCAATCGCCTTACCATGCACCACAGCTAGAGAATCAGTTCTCTTACAAAACCACCATCTCTCCCAAAGCAGCCAATCTCTTCGCTGCATCCTAGAGTCCTTCTAGCCAATTTCAGAAACCAATCTGTCCTGAGCTCTTTGATTTCACAAGCCTTTAATCCCCACAAAAGGCCCAAACCAGTTCTCTGTTTCCCAAAATAACCCTCTGGTTTATTTCTCAAACTACTTGATATTCTGTTGCCAAAAAAAAAAAAAAAGGAATGTTTTAAGCCTGAATTCCTCATCAGATCTCAATCTTGGCTCTTCCAAGCCTTATGTCAAGCCTCAAATTCCTGAAACTACCTAGTATCTAAAAACCCTAAATTTCTGTGGGGTCCAAAGAGCACTATTTCCACCCCACATACTTCCACTCATCAAAGTGGCCTCTTGCTAGGGACCAAGTCCAGGTTTCATGGCCACAGTTAAATCCATGAGAACAGGTGGCTTTGTTACTGATTGCTCCCCAGTAAAAGAAGGCTTAAAAGAAGCTGACTCCACTCATCCCAATTATTACCCTTCCTCCTCCAAAGACAAGGAGCTCACATCAGCTTTTGACGTAGTAGCCCTGAATGAATAGGAGGTGATATCAGACGCTGAAATAGTTGGTTAATTCTGAATCTTTCCAATGGTTTTTAGCCCGGTTTTCTCCCGAAACAAGGAGAAAACCCATCTTAAATGACCAGTGACAGGCACCTCCTTCAGCAAAGCAGTCTCTACAGAAGAAAGAACAGTTCCAGCTCTGAGGTTAACCACTGGCCCTTCTTGCCCAGTCCAGCCTTTTCTTGCCCCATTGGGGCTTTACACAAATGAAACCAGTGAATTTTGAAACCTCTCATTTGCAGCATTGTGTTCTCAGCTGGTAAAACGGTGGTGTCCAATTATATTATTCACTGCATCAGAGCCTCTTAGCAGAGCAATTCTTGTAACAACTGAGTCTCACTGTCCTCACCAAGCAAGTGTGCTCGTCTGTGTGATCATGTATAGATTTCAAATATAAAATATGATTGTATATAATTGTAATAAATATGAGTTACCACTATTTAACACCAGGCTATTACTGGATTACTGTGGCTCTTCTTTTGGGGGAGAAAAATGCATGCAGGGTGGTAAAGGGAGGGAAAAGGGACTATCACAGAAATTCAGTCCTTATAAAATGTTTTCCGAAGGATGTTTCTGGTTGATTTTCTGACTGCTCCAATACGAGGTTATATCAGCAGGAGGCAGCGTGGAGAACAGTGTAAGTGCAATATAAGGTGAAATACAACTATGTTTTAATGCTGGGTTGCCTCTGGTGTTGCAGAGGGCAAGATGGATGTATCATCTGGTGAGTAAAATGCAGCTATTCCAGTTCCTGTCCTCCCAGCAGGAGGCTCTGGAGGGTGCAGAATGCAGCATCCTGCTCCTTCCACCCCCAGCAGCAGGAGGTGCTGAAGGGAGTGTGTGAGATATCCCACAGCCCCTTGGTCTTATCTACCAGCAGGGAATGCTGCGCCGTATCCCATGACTGCTCTAACCCTGCCATGTCAGTGCAGAAGCCATTGAAAGAAGTGGTTTGCAGCAAGTAACTTGTAGTTACTGCAGTCCCATCTTTGTTCAGCAGAAGTATTTGGCTCCCTTCTTAAAAATGAGGGATTTACTTGATTCCTGAGTATTTGGGTGTCTGGTACACAGTGACATTTTCCTGCTCAGGGGGAGCGAAAGGGACCTTCATATTACTGTATTTAGACCTGCTGCTGAATGTGATGATTTCTCATGCCTTAAATGGACGAATATCTTCCCCAGGAGTGCGTGAGTGTGTGTGTGTGTCTCTCTCTCCCTCTCAGTCTCTCTCTCCACTGTTTAACGTTCACAAAGAACGTCACGTTTAGCTAAAACAGGGCAAATTTGAAAGTGTTTAAAAGGAAAGGCTTTCCTTAAGAGATGGCACTTCTCATTTCTCCAAGCCAAGAATCCTTGTGAAAAGAAAACACGACTGAACGCAGGGATGTGATGAAAAAGTATTGTCCTGCCTGTGTACATTTTATATACATAGAAGGTTTTGAAAATAGCAAGTGCCTGGACAACAGCAGTTGGTGAAATGTGGAAAATATGTTGCTGAGGTATGTGCCTTGCAGAGTGACTTACGAGGTTTACAGTACAAGCATCCCTGCGGGTTCCGTTTTCCTCCCTTTTCCTCCATGTTGCCAGTCTTCAACTCATTTACCTCAAGATCTCTGGTGCAGAGTAAAAGGCAGTTTTCTTCAACTTCTCTCTTCCCTCCCTTAGTTTGTGCTTCTTACAGCCTTTACCAATTCAATAGGTCATTGTTTTTCCTTTCCCAAACCTCATGAGTCCCAGAAAACTCCCATCATAGCCATTGTTGCTCAGAAAATCCAACTCTGGGCCTGTGGCTGCTGATGGGATGTTTGTGTACTTTACTGAAGAGATCCAACCCACCAGCAGAGAATTTGGAAGAAGCTAAGGCCTTCTTAGCAGCAGGTATTGTTGTGAATCACGAGTTTTCTTCCTCTGTCTCGCGTTCCTTGTCTTTCCAGCATAGCAACAGTTGTAGGGTGAGTGTTTTGGTCCTTATGAACCATGTAGCCTGACTGCTAACTTGTAAGTAACTTTTTTCTATTTTGCCAGAAAAAAAACAACTTAGATGAGCTGCCCTGTGACATGTTTAGGCCACTGGCCAGTAGGCACTGGGAATGGCATCATATTAGCTGAAAGATGACCAGGTAGCAAACCTTTTATCTGCAGAACAAGAGAGACAGCAGCAGCAGTCGCCCACCATCTGGCTGTATGCAAGTACTCTGTTTTACTGTGTAATCAGCCTCTGTTTTGATACAGGAAGAAGAATAACACCACCCTGGTTGGTGAGTTCATTACACCACCCTGGTTGGTGAGTTCATTGAGTTCTTAACATGGTTTCTATAGGTCCTTGATACCATATAGAATGCAAGTGAAGGGAGCTTCTTCTGAACACTGTTATTTGAGCACATTTCAGTGAAACCCTGTGAGCCTGTGCTCTCCCTCCTAGAGGAAACAATAACAGGCTGGTGCTTTCCAGTAATTTGAGGATATAAAAGCTCCCTTTTCAATAACTGCAAGAGGAATGTGGGGAACTCAGAATACGTGGCAAAGTGGGAAAGGGTTAAGAGAGGTATCTGCTGATCATCTTCATCCAACCTGCCTACCCCCCCGGTGTGACAAATAAGTCCTATGTGCGTCTTCATCATCAGAAGCAGGAAGAATTTTATTGCTATTTGTGTGTTGAGGGTGTAACCTAACAGTGTTGGGGATCAGAAGGAGGAGGATGGACTGTGATCCCATGTGAACTTGCTGCTTTGCTGCAAAGCATTTTTCTTATAAGCGTGCCTCAGTTTCCACACGTAAAAAGTACTGGCTGGTAAATGCAAAGATGTGTCAAAGACAAGCTGCAGACAAAGCCAACTTTGGGAACCAGGTTTCATGCTCACACAATAACCCCAACCCCCATTAACTGCTGTGCCCTGGAGCAGGACTCCAGCCCCCATTGCTGGCTGTGCTTTGGAGGAGAGCAGTGCAAGGCTGCAGCACGCTGTACAGCTGTGTGAGGGGAGCTGCCCTGCCCTCCTGCAGCAGCCTGCACTGGTCACTTGGCCAGCTTGTCCTGGTCTGGAGGCAGGCATTTTAGATCTGGCCTTTCCTTCTTGCAACTCAGGTGAGTCTGCCAAGTAAGTGCTTTTAATAACTATGTTTTCTCTTGATTTTGTCTTCAATAAACTGGGGGACCTGGAGTTTGTTAGAAGGGTTGCCAGAAGGTCTGTCTTGATGTGTACTGCTATATGCACATGGTATATACTGGGATGCTGCCTGGGGCAGGGAGGGAGCTGTGGAAAAACCTGGTCTGTGTCTACTCCATGGCTTTCATTTGCAGTGCTTGCTACAGAAATGGAGGCTGCCTTTGCTTTTCCTTTGGGGGGACAGTGTGATGCTTGAGCAAAACAAAAGCCAGGGAGTGGATCCAGAGTAGGTTTTTGTTGTAACCTGTGGTGTTAAAGTCAAGGTCTCCATGCTTATCTAGACCCTCCACACTCAGCAGGTTGTGGAGTATGTGTTTTTCCCAAAGGCTTTGACAACTGGAAGCTTTGGAAGGTCCCTTTTGTGTGGTGGTGGTTTATGTTAAGCACAAATTGTATGTGGTGGTGACCCTGTGCACCAAAAAGTGATGTTAAGCTTGAACTGAGAGTCTTGCAGCCTGGACTTGATCTCTCATAGCAATGGGTTGTATGCAAGTGCAGAGCAAGAGAGGGGCTTGGCCTCCAGGGGTTGAAAACATAAATAAAGGGATGCTGGGAGGTGAAACACAGGAAATTACTTACCTGAGGGCGCAGGAGAGAACTTCCCACTTTCTTCATTTTCCTGTGTATCCCAGACTATGCTGCTTCCCTCAGGAGCCAGCCTCTGTAGGCAGCTTTAGAGCATGTCCACCTATTACGCTGATGAGAGGCTGTCTCTTACCACTGTGTATCCTCTCAAGAAATGAAATAAAGCAGTGGCAATGTACCTAAGGTGAATTTTGGGGTGTGAGGGAAGAGGGATGGTGCAGGGCTGGGCCCAGCTCTTCCACTTGCTGTGCAGTAGGAGCTCTGAACTGCGCACTTGTGGATGGAGGGGCTGGCATGGGCCCTCCCAGCTCAGGGAGAAAAACAATCCCATCCGCAGAAGGGAGCAAGCACTAACCTAATAAAGGCACCAGCTGGACGGAGGGAAAACCAGCTCTTTGGGAAAAAAAAAACCAGCCCACAACCTCCTTTCATTAGAAAAATAATATATTTCATCCAAATAAGGTAAAAATATTTGAAATGGGGCAGAAGTGAGCACTAGGCAGCATCTGTCAGGCCCTTTCTGAAAAGGGGAAGATTATTAAACTCAATTACAATTTATTTTTGTAAAGTGTCTTTCAGACTAAAAATCTCCCCAAATGCTTTGCAAGGACTGCTCAGGGGTTACTTACAACGTGGAGCATCTTAGAAGAACGCTCCTGTTTCCTCACCAAGCCCTGCTTTTCTGCATCTGCTGCAGGATTTAACCCTTTGGGATTTTCCTTTCTTTCTTCTATATTTGCACAAATAAGGAGAGATGGTTTATGGTGCTGGC